ACTGGCAACACCCTACTCCTCCGCGACAGCACCATCCTCACCGTCCTCAAACTCTGGAGCGAAATCATCTACATCATGGCCGCGACAGAAACGCGCCTCGGTGGCAGCGAAACACGCTTCGATGCTTTTCACCTCAACTTCGGCCGAGCCGTGGCGCTCGCTAAAATCCTCCTCCTGTCCACACCCGCCCAATCAACCATGCCCAACTTCTCCATCGGGATGGGCATCATCCCTCCTCTTTTCTTCTGTGCCTTCAAATGTCGCGACTGGTACATCCGGCGAGAAGCAGTCCAATTACTCCGCAGCTGTCAGAGACAGGAAGGTCTCTGGACAACGCCGGGGGCCGTCCTCGTCCTGGAACGGTTGATCGATATCGAATCTAAAGGCCTCATGCCGGGAGATCTGGTTCCAGAGTCACGCCGCATTGACTCGATACATGTGAACATTCTTCCAGATGATCATAAGATAGGGTTATGGTATCGTCGATCGAGCCGGCAGATGGGATTGGACGGCTATGTGGATGTCGGCTCGGGGATGTGGGAGAAGGCACTACTGGATTATCATGTGGGGTGATGCTTGAGGTATAAGAAGTATTCAATGGGACTTTGGTTGGCGATTTATCATGTATTAGATACCAATTTGCTCGGCGTTAATTTATATATCACTTATGAATTCTTGTTAGGATTGAACTTCGACTTGTAGTAAGCATTTATTGACTAACGATCAGCAGGTATCATCACCAATTTTGACGTAAACCTCCATCACTGCCGTTTTACTACTTTTATCTCACATTCAAGACTACCGCTGAAAAGCACACCGTACACAACATAATCCCAATAAATATGAAACCACAACAATAACAGCATGATTTAATTATTACAATTTCCTAAATAAACATCCCTAAATAAACCCTCCCCTTCCTAGTTACCCCCACCCCAGAAACCCCAATCCTCCTCTTTCCCAAATCAAACCACTACTACCAATCATAAACCTAATACCACTGACACCTCACCACCGGATTAAACATACTAACACTCAACGCCCCATAACAATCATGCACCTTATTCCCACCATAGCTCTCACAATCGACCGTCTTCCCCAACTGCGGACAAGTAAACGTGCCCGGCTCCTCACTCGTCCCCTTATAGACACAATCCTCCATATCATGAATCTTGAAATCCAACTTCTTCGTCCCATCCGGATACGGCGGATCCACCACCTTAATATCTCCACTCGCCTCTAGCTCACCGGCCTCCCCATCCTTACAGAAATCTATCGAGGAGCCCATGTCCGGCGTGAAGAAGGACCAGTAGCTGTACACGTCGGAGAGGTAGGCGATGACCATTTGGGCCGTGGGCGTCGGCGTCGGCGCCGTGTAGATCGTGCTGCTGGTGCCGGCGCATTTCGTGTACGTGAAGGTCGAGAAGTAGCTGAGCGTGGAGGTGGCGCAGACGAGGACGTTGCTGTTGAGTTCGGTGGTCGTGAAGGGGGGGTCGGAGGTGGTTTTTGTGCTACTGGTTTTTGTGGTGCTGGTGGGTGTCGGGATGGAGGTGTAGGAGCAGCCGCTGCCGGAGGGGAGTTCCGAGAGGGTTGTGTAGTCGCCGTTGGGTTGGTTGCAGACGCAGACGTTGCCGGCGCCGTTGTCGGGGTCCGCGCTGGGGGTTAGGTTAGTATGGTTTTCTTGTGGTTGGTGAGGGTGGGAGGGCTTACTGGTTGGTGCAGAGGGGCGGGGTGTAGGAGGAGGTTGTGGTGACTAGGGTTGTGGCTGTCTGGTTGCGTGATGGTGAGGGCGTCACGGTGGAGGTGTGGTGCGTGGTTCTGGTGTCGCTGGCTGTTCCACTGTGCGTGTGGATGATGATGGTTGTGGTGTCGGTTGACGTGCTGGATTTGCTGTCGGTGCTGGTGGATGTTGAGTTGGTTGTAGCAATGCTGGATGTGTGGGCTGATGAGGATGCAGAGAGCGGTGCGGAAGAAGAGGATTCGGTAGACTTGGTGGATGTGGTCTTCTTTGTGGTGGTGGTATCTGTGGATGTAGTTTTGCTTGCTGCAGCGGATGACGATGCTACCTGCGAAGATTCCGCCTTGGACTTGGTCTTGGTCTTCGTGGAGGTAGAAGACTCCTTGGTGCTTGTCGATGTAGGTGAGGCAGACGCGCTGGCTGAGTGACCTGAGCCGGCAGACGAGCTTGAGTCTGAGGTTGCGGTGGACGTTGTTGACGTCTCGGTCTTTGTAGACTTGGTAGACGTATCGGTATCCGTGCTGGTAGACGTGGCAGTCTTTGTGGACTTCGAAGACGTATCGCCCGAGGTCGTTGTCGTTGTCGTACCGGTGCTCGTCGCGGTAGAGCCAGTGGCAGTCACACCCACTGCACTGAGGGAACTTCCCTCGGTCTCGAAGGCATCAAAGTAGGACGAAAGCTTGGACTCATCTGAGGAATCACTGCCTGAGGAACTGCCCAAAATTGACACTGCCTCATCCGCAGTACTGGAGATGCAGCTCGCAATGCCGATGATATCTCCCAGCAGGCCTCCGCCGCTGCTACAACTATCGAGCGCCGATTCGCTATCACCAGAGCTTGAACTTAAAGAACTAGGTGCTCCAAGGACGTCGAGAACGTCATCCGCTACGGGGATGACGCGCGTCAGGGGCTTGATGAGATCGGATGCCTTGACGGACTTGGGGTCCTTCTTCCATTTCTTAATCACTGGATATGTGTCCTTCACAAGCTTGTAGAGGTGCTTGATAATGGCGTAGACATCAACAGAGGAAGTGGTTGTGCTGCTGGTGGTTGAGATTGTCGAGTTCGGTGTCGTGGAGGGGCCGGTCGTGATGCTAGCACTTTGGCTGGTATCAGTGTTCGTGGTGGTAGTAGTAGTGAGTGAGTGAGTGCTCAATGTAGGAGAATGAGATTCAGGGCTTGATGAAGCAGTATCTGCGGAGCTGGAGCTTGACTTGGACGTAGGAGTGTGAGAAACCGAACTTGAAGTGGTGTCTTCAGTACGAGTGTGGGTTGTGTGGGTCTTGGTAGAAGAGCTAGTGTTTGGTTTGGATGAAGCCGGCGTCGACGCGGTAGGGGTGTGAGAACGAACAGGCGTCGATGAGCTCGTGGAAGTGTCGTGCTGCGCTGAAGCCGACGAAATTGTCGAGATGTCCGATGAATACGTGGACGACGTAGGCGTATGAGTGTGGGTATCCTTCAATGTACTGACTGTGTGGGATGATGTAGCAGATTCAGAAGAAGCATGCTCCGAGGAGCTCGAAGAATGAGTGGAAAGAGTGTGGGTTGAAGGAGTATAAGATGGACTGATGGGAGTCCCAATGGAAGCAGGAGTGAACAAGCTGCTAGGGGAGCGAGTGGAAGTCTCCTTGGAGACGACAGAATGAGAACGACTTGACGCAGTAGTATGATCCTGAGCAGGGACACCTGCAGAAGAACTTGACAATATCGTCGTATGAGAGTGGGAACTCGAAGGAGTGTACTGGCTGACAGACGTGTCATGGACACTACTATCATTAGAACCTATCTCTTTGATTATCAAGGGAAGACCAACCTTTGGGGTGTGTTTACAGGCGTGCTAGAGTACGGGAGTGTCGTGGCTCCATGGGAAGACATCGATGCTCCATCGTGGTCGTCGGTTGAGGCCCCCTGAGTAGCACCAAGGGATGCCGTAGCTAGCGAAGAAGGAGAGTACGATGGAGTATTCGAGGCTGAGATCGTGGTAGCTGTTGAGTCCGACTCCGAAGTCCATGAAGGATGACTCTCGGAAGAGGTCCTACCCGGGGTGTTTGCAACAGCCGACGAGGCGGAATGCGAGGACTGAGGAAGCCCTAACGCTGGTGAGACGATGCTGGCAGCGCAGAGTCCTGCCAGCAGGGTTTCTGCATTAAAGAGTGGCATTGTCCAAAGGACGATAAAGAATGACTGTAACAAGCAAAAACAACGAGTGAGTGACAGTTGGCTTACGCTTGGCATAAAGAAATCTCCTGAAGGGAGACTGTTTCTTTAGTATTCCCAACTCTTGCTCCTTGGTGGCTGAGCTTCGGTAACAGCGTAGAGGATTGGGCTGGCCGCGGCGGTGGCTTTTGGCCCCCAGAGGGCCAAAACCAAGCAATACCACCATCCCCGTTCCACCAATGCTTCGAGTCATTTCTAATCTCAGAATTGTTTGTCTACTGCAGGTACGGCTCGATCGGTCGCATGCGGGTGTCAAGCTATTGTGCTTATTACTGGATGGAAGAATGTAAAGCCCATCAGCGTGCGTGTTTGAACTTGGCTTAATTAAACCCGATCCTCTGGCCCCCGAGACAGCCTGAATGGGGCGAGAACTTCGCCAGAACAAGCGATAATATAGGCGATCTTTGCACTGCCTGGTGGTCAACGCGGATAGTTTGCCCGATCGCTTCTTGGAAGACAGTCTCCTAGATCGGCTAAGTGCTTAGCTCTCGGTCTAGGCGACCAAGGAGCGTAGAGATGGCACCAACACATGCCCTAGCTAAAATAGCAAAGGAAATACTTGGAGTAGCTTATTGAGATGGCCGGAGCCGCGATTGTATCTGTGCTGAGGTAGGTTTCGTAAAGATGGTTCATTGAATATCAGGCAGCTTTGACAACCGAATGAAAAGGGCGGAGATCGACAAATCGTAGAGGCCAGAATGGACACTTAGTAACTAGCTAAATGTTGGAAAGGTGGACAGAACAGGACATCTATTGGCGTACTCATTGGATTGCCAATTGTTCCGACGGAGTGTCATTGATTGGCTGGGTGTAAATAAACTCATCTTTTTCCCAGAGACCAGGAGAAGGAATCATCCTTGAAAATGTCTCAAGACCAAGGGCAGGGACTAGTTAATGGTATGTATCCTACTACCACTACTACTAATTCCTCCTACATAGAGATAATAGTTGTCAAGTTCAAGTACTCTTTCAGTAAAGAGTATTTCCAAACCGAGCAATAGTTATTCCGGAATAAAAATACGGCTTCAAAACTGAATCCTTTCTGCTCCCATCTGCGCCCACAGCGGAGATAACTTTGGCTATCCAGGCTAAGATTCGAAGGATGCTCTCTATCTATGACTCCCCGGGCACACTTTTCATCATTGTGTATGAAGGCCATTCAAATGCGTACTACGACATACCCAATGCCTGTGTCAGTATTATGTAAGTAGGTTTATATATAGATATCCCAGAGATAATCAATCAATAAGCTAAATGACTCTATAGGGGCTCAATGAGGGAACCTACGGTTTCTCTACCTTGGGGTTTCGTGGAGACCGCGCTGACCTTTACTGATGGAGATGTCGTCTGTATAATGGACTCGGCGTTTCCATCTAGGGCGGCAATGAACTGTGAAGATATTGAATACCTCACGGTCTCGCCATTCAGGTCACCAGCAGCCAGGGGCATCGATGTTACCTAACGAGACGACTCATTGACTTACTGAATCAAGTAGATACCGAAACCACCATATCACAAATACACGCAAAGCTTGCCGTGCATGAAAACCGTCCAGGCAGTCAACTGGGACTTATGTCTGTACATTTCCCCGCCAAGAACAAGCCATCCATCACCCTTCACCCTATGGGAGCGCTCCCAAGGCAGCTCAGAGGTCTCCGAAAAGCAGGTGATTTGTCAGATGTCAAGGTTTTGATTACTGTTCGGATAACATCATAAACGACCAGTATGCCGGATATCGTCGAGCAATGCATCCAGTACTTGTCAGCATCGATTGCCGGGGCTGTGGCAGATATCCAGATTGAAGGTATCTTCAGGTTCAATCCGGACTCGTCCTTGTTGCTGCTTACAATGCCAACTGCGGTTTGGAGCATGCTTCGTCATAATCACTCCTTTGACTTCGCGGCGGTGTCATCCAGTCACATAATCTACTTTGTCACCGGTCGACTACTATGGCTCTTGCCAGCGGGAATGCTGACTTGTCCTGCAGGGGCGAAGACTGATATTTATTGCTTATTTTATTTATAACAGGCAATTATACTGCGTTCAAAATAGAGTTATTCCTGCAAAGTAACGGTACGTAATTAGACTACAAGTCGGCAAAGAATGACTCTTTCCGCTAAAAACATGACCAAAGCCAAGACTTGTTCTTGTCTCGTGGAAGTTGCGGAAGTCGGAAGTTGAGTTGTTGGACTACAGAGCCGCGGAGATAGAGAGCTCCCCGCGGAGATGGCCAAATTGCCTCAAATGGTACTCCGGAGGTACATGAACCACCACGCCACCGTGCCAAACCTTGAGCAGTCGGTGCAAATTCTCATGGAACATGGCCAGAACATCAAACGAAAATATTAACCAGAAAAAAAAAAGTACACCGAGAAAGTAATTACGTAATTAACCGGTTGCTGTCAACCTTATACCCCCTAGCGCCTTGTCAATTTCCATTCCACCATCCACCACCCCTGGTTGTCTACACCTGCTCTGCCCCGTGAGGAATATTAGGAATATTAGGGTTATTCTGCAGTTGTGAGTTGGTCGGGGTGTGGTTCCTCCTCTCGGCTGTTGGCGATTGCGGCTGCTCTACCGTAGTAGCTTCGGAGTTATACGAGGGACGGTGCATCGACATGTCCCACGATCCGGGACCTCCCGAACCCATCTTGGCCTCCCATTCATTGTAGTCCTGACCGGGATTGACGGTGGTGTACTGGAACATCTTGAGGAAGGTGAAGAAGCCACATGCGAGGAGACTTCCCAGCAACGGACCGACCCAGTAGATCCAATGGTACCCGGGGAAACTGCGGTTGATGACGTCAGGACCGAGCGATCGCGCTGGGTTGAGTGAACCGCCAGTATAATAGTCCCCTGCAGGAGAAGAGGTTAGTCGCATATAATCTGGCAGCAATTGGACCGGAAGCCATCTACTTACCAACCATCTCGGTCACGAAGAACACCAGGCCGATGGCCACAGGAGCCAGGAAGGTGGACTTGTGTTTCACAACAGCCAGCATGATGATAATGAGCACCAGCTGAGCCGTCAAAAACATTTCGATGAACAGTCCTTGTGAGATTGAAGCGCCGCCGCCCAGACGAGTGCCGACGTTCAAGTCGCCTGGGAACAAAGCACTCACGACACCGGCAGCTGCAATGCCTGCGATGAGCTGAACCCCGAAAACAATAACCCCACGGATGGGAGACAATCCACCAACCAGACACAGGGCCAAAGTGACCTAGAATAATGATCAACCACATATCTCGGAACTGGCATGGTACAACATACTGCGGGGTTAAATAGACCTCCAGTCACTCGATAGAATGCCCACACATTGACCATCAACGAAAATCCGAAGCAGAGCGAGGAGTATAGCAGGTTTGGAGTGTTTGGAGGAGACCCGGGCGCTGGTTTGGGGGTATTAGACACCTGCGTCCCAGCGAAGGAGAAGAAGAGGAAGAGAAAGGTTCCCACGAATTCCCCGACGGCGGCGATGAAATTGTTCCGTGTCGTGTCGGCGAGGTGCAGCATAGGAAGCTGACTATTCGAGGATCTATAGACGGGAGCCGTCTGGCCGTCGCCGTTGCGCTTGCGAAACCATTGTGGTGGCCCCATGATGATATTCTTTACAATTTGTTCGAAAAACAAGGCCGATTGTGAGCGGAATCTATTTGCGACCAAAAAAAGTGGGCTGCTAGAGCAACAGAGCGGCTTTTATGCATCAGGGTAGGGCGAGCTGTCAGCTCCGCAATTCCAGCTGGAGCAAACGTCATGACGTTCTCTTCCGGCAGGAGGCTTGAAAGAGGTTTATCTCGGTTCGCAGGTGGTGAGCCGTCAATAGCAGAAGATTTGGCTCGGACTCGGGAAGAGCAGCCATAAATAATGAGCTAGACGACTTGGTTGCGACCATGGTTGAGCCGAAAATTGAGGAGCATTGAGTGTTCTGGACCTTGCTTTGTGGCGTTGAGCAACCAGACAATAGCGGCTACATTGAGAGGAGGAGTATAGTCCGACATGCCTCATTTGTGGGAAAATTCATCTGCCGACGAACTAGTTAGCATGTAGTCTCTTCTTTTGAGCCATAAATTTATGAAGCCGAATTGAGGTTGCATTACTGTTTGTTTTCTCTTTGGGGGTCCAACTCGGAAGAGCCCCACGCAGAATTGATTGACGGCGGAAAGCGGATTAACAATTTCGTAGACGTTACATGTTAACAATGAGAATGAGCAGATGCTTTGCATTGAGCTAGCTGGTGGGGTGTTTCCACCCTGTAGCCAAGACGAGAGCTTAGCAGGAGACTATTGTGGTGGTCTTTACTGTCTTGGAGTAGTGAGATCAACCATCCCAGATAGGACTAGCGGGTGTCTGTCCCGGAGATACCTTAATCCGAGGGAGCGAAGAGGGCGTGACTTCCTTCCTTCCAACTGCATCATCGCATCTTCCTCGGGGTCTCGTCTGTCCCTGCATTGCCGCAGCATCGTACAATACTTAGTACTGTCTCAAAATGAACCAGACATGACTAACAGCATCTTTGTGACTGGATGAGTTCGAACAACGGCCTCCCCGAGGAGTTCGTGAGCGTTGATGGATCACCCCACGGCCGAGACTCGGTTGCTCTCGGACGCCCCCCTAAATCTTCCGGTCGGGCGTCGGGATTTGGTGGGCTGATCAAAGGCCTCAAATTAATAATTTGCTGCGAGTCATTTTGACTTTAGCTCGCTCGCTATTCTGTCTCGGCGTGCCATGACAGCAGAGATGCTGCAGAAGCAGACGTCTGCCTTCTTATCAGATGCCTCAATAGTGATGGATGGATGTGACGGATATGCAGCTCCCACTGGGGGATCTGCTCTATGTGACAGGAGTGACAGCCCCTTGAACCAATTGAGAATGACTCGATTATCATATCACACTCAAAATTCTCTCGGTCCAATCACGGATCGACAGCCTTAGCATCATCTGGAACCTGATTTGACGCGTTAGTCTGGCACCTTCTGTACTTCCCCAGTTTCTCCGCGGAGATGCTCAAAAGGCCGCGCCGTTCAACTAGTATACACAAAAAAAGTGGAAGCAAGAAAAAACTTCTCCCGCCACGGCATGCCGTCCACCCGGACTAACAAAAGCCCTCAAGGACCACCTCCTAATTGCTCACCGGATTATAAATACTAGAATAGACCATCATCATCAGAGTGCTTTCTCCCTTCATTCTCCAAGATCCTTCTTAGACTCGTTCTCCTTTGGTACTCTTTGCATCATTTGTTCTGTCAGATCTACCACACTAAACAATGGGTCTCACCCAGGAACAGACTGACATCATCAAGGCCACCGTGCCTGTGATCAAGGTGCATGGCAATGCTGTTACCAGCGTCTTCTACAAGAACATGCTCGCCGCGCATCCTGAGCTGAATGCCATCTTCAACTCATCCAACCAAGTGAACGGCCACCAACCCCGCGCCCTCGCCGGCGCTGTCTTCGCCTACGCCGCCAACATCGACAACCTTGGTGCTCTCGGCCCCGCAGTCGAGCTCATCTGCAACAAGCATGCATCCCTCTACATCCAGCCCGAGCACTACAACATCGTCGGCAAGTTCTTGCTCGAAGCCATGGGCGAAGTCCTTGGTGACGCCTTCACCCCCGCCATCAAGGACGCGTGGGCCGCCGCTTACTTCCAACTCGCTGATATCATGATCAACCGCGAAGCTGCCCTCTACAAGGAGGCCGATGGATGGACCGAGTTCCGTGATTTCCGCATTGCCAAGAAGGTTTCTGAATCTTCTGAGATCACCTCCTTCTACCTCGAGCCTGTCGATGGCAAGCCCCTCCCCTCTTTCCGTCCCGGACAATACATTTCCATTCAGCTCTTCGTCCCCCAACTCAACCACCCTCAAGCCAGACAATACTCTCTCAGTGACAAGCCCCGCTCCGACTACTACCGGATCTCTGTGAAGAAGGAGGCTGGCCTTAATGCCACCGAACCGGGAGCTGAAGCCCACCCTGGCCTCGTGTCTAACATCCTGCACGATCTCAAGAAGGAAGGCGACATCATCAAGGTGTCGCACCCGCAGGGTGACTTCTTCCTGTCCGATGCGGAGAAGCAGAGCTCCAGCCCCATCGTTCTCTTGGCAGCCGGTGTGGGTCTGACCCCGCTCACCTCGATCCTGAACACCCTCCTCGAGACCGAGTCTGAGACACAGCGCAAAATTTCCTTCATTCACGGCGCTCGCACCTCCGCCGCCCGTGCCTTCAAGCCCCAGATCCGTGAGCTGGCCACCAAGGTGCCTAACTTGCAGGCCTTCTTCTTCACCAGCCACCCGGCTGCCGAGGACAAACAAGGTGAAGACTACGACTTTGCCGGTCGCCTGGACCTGAGCAAGCTGGATTCCAAGAAGGACCTGTTCCTGGACGATGCCACAACGCAGTACTACGTGTGTGGTCCCGAGTCGTTCATGCTGGACGTGAAGGGCAAGCTGGCTGCCGAGGGAGTGAGCGCGGATCGCATCAAGATGGAGCTGTTTGGCACTGGTGGTGTGCCCGCTTGATTGCGTCATTGACAGATACACACTGCATACACTTTTATCTGCTACCGATACAGATAGAGTAGAGCTTTGCATTATGGGTTACGACTGCATGGGTTAACCTTTGTATATAATTTTAGTTCTTTAATACCCTCCACTCAATTAATAATTCGTTATACACTACAACCAGCTCACATAAGCAAATTGCACTTATCAAACAATTCTTCCAGTTTATCAAAGCGTGAAAAACTAATTATGTATGAAGATTATCCACACAATTCACCTAATATTCACAACGAAAAGAAAATCTCTTCCCCCCATCTCACACTTAATTACCATACGCCTTAGCTTCACCCAACGCCACACCCCTCAACTTCGCAAAATCCGGCGTTCCCAGCCCGGAAACCGGATCCCACCCAGTGGTCGCATTCCAACTAGCAAACGGCACAACGGGACTTCCATTGGGCGTGCCTCCAAACCGGTTCCTACCATCACAACCCACGCTCCCGCCGTTGACAATATCATTCAACGCGCCACTCTCACTACCAACTCCATAGAGGAACGGGTTCAGGAATCCCATAACGGGCAAACCCGCCCTCAGTCTGGCGTCATTCAACAAGGCAATGACACCACTGAATGTCGGCGCGGAGCAACTGGTTCCATCGTACTGGCCAAGCATGCCCTTGTCGTAGACGGCGTAGTTGACGCCCTGCGCGGCGACGTCGGGGAAGGCGCGGCCGGAGGCGTTGAAGAGGCCTGAGAACTTGTTGCCCAGGTGCTGGGTGAGGTAGGTTTGGACGGCAGCCTGTTGGTAGGAGGGGCGGGGCCAGAGGTCGGAGAAGCCTCCTGAGGAGAAGGAGACGGCTTGTTCAGGGGAGGTTTTGGAGGTGGCACCGACGGAGGTTACCCAGGGGCAGGAGGCCGGGAATTGAGGAGGGAAGTGGGTGCGGTTGGTGCCGTCGTTGGTGAGGCAGGCGGCGCCGACGCCGGAGTCGCCGCTCGAGAAGATCACGGAGACACCGCGGCTGCCGAGTTGGGCGTAGAGGTTGCAGACCGTGCGGGCGTAGGGGACGGGGATGGTCTGAGTGGTAGGGGTGGTTAGTTGGGGTAGTTTGGGGGGATGAAAGGGGACCTACCTGTTCGTCTTCGCCGTAGGAGGTAGAGATGACTTGGGGGAGTTCGGAGTTGTTGAGCTTGAGGATACCCTGGAGGAAGTCGAGGTAGGGCTCGTTGCTGTTGTCGTTGGGGTCCGGGGAGCTCAGGTCGGGGACCAGTTCGCCGCGTCCGCCAGTGCTGTATTCGGTGACCGGGACGGGAGCGCTGACGCCCAGGATGTACTGCAGGTCGAGGTTGGCTTCGCCGCTGTCGCTCAATGAAAGCTGGTCGTTGAGGCCGCCGTTGAATTGGACGACGCTGAAGTTCTGGCCGATGGCATTGGGAGCCAGGTGCTGCTCGAACCTTTCGAGATCGGCATACCGGGCGTATTCTTCAAGGTAACTGGCGAAGCCGACCTTGCTACCGGACTTGGGATCAGCCTGGTAGTCACCGATGTTGTAGAGCTGCTTCAGACAGTGCGGCGTGATGATGGAGTCGCAGTGGGAGGTGTTCTGGGCCAGGGTGGCTGCGGTCAGGAATGTCTCGTCGGCGTGCTTGGGCTTGCTGCGCATGGTGGCACGGTTCGGCTGGATCTGGCCAAAGCGAGTGGTGGGCTGGATCATGTTGATGTGCGAGACCAGGGCGTCGGGGATGGAGTATTGCAGGGTGCGCAGACGACGAATGTGCTTGGCCTCGCTGACATACCACTTGAAGTCGGCATCCAGCAGGGCATTGGCCTTGTTGACGGTGGTATGGAACTTGACCCAGTCGGCGTCGACCTGAATATTGTGGACTCCGGCGGATTCCAGCCAGTCGCGGACTGAGTCGACGGCAGTGTCGCTGGGGAGCAGCATGCGCTTCATCTCATCATGTGTGCGGAAATGCTTTCCATAGTCGGCGTGACCCGGGGTGGACATGTCCATCACGGCTTGTTCGAAACCGGCAACATCGTGCTGCTGAAGGGCGATCTGAAGACGAATGACCTCGTTGCCGTGAGGATTGTTGGCGTATCTCCAGCCTGGTAGTAATCGAAGTAGTCGCGTTAGTATATGGTTTAGGATGATGCGTTGATGTTTGTAACTCACCATTGGGTACGCCGGACAACTTCTCGAAGATCTCCGCGGCTACAGGCGAAGGGAGCAGCGACAATAACGCGAGGGATACGGCTGCTCCCTGGCTAAGGAAGGAGGATAACATGGTGAAAGGGTGTCGGAGAGATGAAGAGGAGGGGATTGAAGACGGCGAAGGGGAAGTGAAGGGGACGGGCAGAGATAAGTAGTATTATTTATTTATTTGTTATGGGGGACTATCAGTACTGCCGCTGCAGGCGATTAAGACTGCGATGTGCATACCCTTACTGTATCGGGGGTTGGGAGGGGCGCTGATTGGGTCCGCTGCGAGTGTAGCCGAAGCTGGAGGTGACACTAGCGCCACACTGTCCGGCTGATCGACAGGGATATGCTATCATTCCGCTGTATTTTATCTTGCTGTTGCCTGCTTTGTTTTTGTCCAACAGCCCAAGATTTCAGTGTATTGCAGGGCGTCCAATAAACCGGTTGTTTGGCTGGCTGGTTTGCACCATTCCCCGCCAAGATCTTGCCAGGACCGGGCTTCTTATGATTGGCTGGGCGGGAGGCGGGAGGACAAGTTGGTGCCAATCGAGTGCAACCTCAGGAACCGCCCAGCCTGACTGGCTCCACCCGCCTTCCTGCTTCCCCTTTCCTAGATCTTGGCACGGCTAGCAGAAGTGATAGTTCTGCTCCTATTTCGTCATTTTGGTAGCTTCACCCCCCGCTTTCTTGAGAAGCCACTAGCTAATCGGGCCAATCCCTTGGTTTCTGCAGCTTTGGGCTACCCTGAAGAGGCAGGTCACTGCTCGTTCATCAATGTTATCTTCTACAATGTAGTATTGTGCTGTCATGGTCTCAGAGAAGGTTCGACTCCTCCGATGCTTTCCCCGGCTCTCCGCCGGGTGTAGCATCCTCTTCTCCTTGGCGTGGGGAAACAAATCAGAACAGGATGGATAGACTGGTAGTATCGCTGTGAAGCAAAGTATTCTTTTATCAGAGCAGCATTGGAAAACCAGCATCTATTGCATAATGGTCACTGACCAAATCTCCTCCCATAAGTACCATCTGTTATTATTTTCTCCGAAACCCACAAATCTGTCCTCTAGTCAACTATAAATAGTCTGATCGGCAGTGAACTTCAGCTCTCGGCAGCCCACTTTCCCATTATCTCGTTTGCCAATGCGAGGAATCGATGATCATACATTATAGATAAACCAAAGATATGAAAAACGTGAGAGCAAGGGCTTGTGCACCCTGTTTAGGACCTGAATCCTCCTCCGACAAGCTCCCCGAGACATCAACAAACCTTGTGTTGACAGGGATAGTATACTCCGCAGCGCTTAGCTGCATCTAGAAACGATCGGCCATAGCCATTGTCCAATGACCATAATTTTCGCCCAGGCCTGCTGCAGAGTCACTCGGAATAAATTTGCTTCTGATGATGCTAGATTTTGTCGCGATATGACTTACTTCTTGCGTGCATACTATTCACCATTTTCACTTCCATTTCTCCGGAGATATTCCCCTTCTGGAGCTGTCACAAGGCTGACATTATTAATCCGGCCTTGGGATAATACCAGAAGTCGGTACCCAGTAATAACAAGAGTTGCGTCTACTTCGACCAAGAGAATTGCAACGGCGTGAAGGTAGTACTGTGGTTTTTTAGTGAGCAGAAGTAGCGAGGAATTGATAATGAAAAGGGACATTTCCCATATAACCCAACTTTCGATATATCTCCGGTATGTTTACTTTTTCAGGCAGCCTTTCCATCCTTTCTCCTCTGCGAACTGCCATGCAGGGTCACGTGTCTGTATCACAGTCACGATATCTTCCCGCCAGCCCAAAGGTGCAGGGATCTCCATCCATTATCCATTCCACTTGATGCTCTCCCAATTGTAGCACAAATATATTGGGATTCTTTCATGATGCTACGCAAGCCTGTTCCGCTGTTACGCGGTCAAAGACGACCGTTCCACCATCCAACCTTTTCATACCGGACAAACCTGAGCCAGTCATGCCCCTTTAGTTGGAATGCGATCCATGAGCCGTATGACTACACAAGAGCTCGCTTCTTGGTAAATGAAAATCACGAGATGGCCATACGCCGGGTAAAGTTCAATATGAGTGAGCTAGTAAAGCGTGCGGCTGAATCAGTCGGCTTTTCACACGATCAATGCGTTAATGTTGAGAGACTCCCGGATGGCATGTTCAATAAAGCTTTCCTCTTCACCATGCAGGATGGTACACAGGTTGTAGGTAAGGTGCCAAATCCGAATGCCGGGCGGCCACACTACACCACAGCTAGTGAAGTGGCAACGATGGATTTTGTAAGCAAGCTTCATACTACCCGCTTCACCGGTGTGTCTAATGCCCACTGGTAGGTAAGGAATAAGCTGAGTACTCCGGTGCCGAAGGTTTTGGCTTGGAGCTCAAACGCAAGCGAGAACCCAGTTGGTGCAGAATACATTATTATGGAGAAGGTTGGAGGTATCCAGCTGAATAAAGTTTGGCCACGGATGAATATTAAGCAGAGATTTGAGCTCGTCATGACAATAGCCAGGTATCAAAAGGCCTGGATGTCGAAGTCGTTCATCCAATATGGGAGTCTATATTATTCCAAAGACTTGCAAAGTAACAGTGGCTGCATCCTCGTGAATGAAGACGGGTCTCGGTTCAAAGACGACCGATTTGCTATCGGTCCATCAACAGGAAGAGGGTTCCTTGACGACGGTAGGATCGACGTGGACTTTGATCGGGGCCCCTGTAAGATTTCCTTACCAGCCTGTCGATATCTCCTGCTGATACAGTCCAGGGGATAAGCTGTACGGATACAAATTAGCAATTGGGTTCCGAGAACTCGCCTGTGTACAGGAAATGCCCCAATTACCCCGGTCAATCCTGGGTTTATACGGTCCCGGCACATACCGTCGCTCACCATCGAAGAAAATAGCTGCTATTCGGGACTATCTCCGCATGGTGCATTTCTTCCTCCCAGCGGATGACTCAATATCGTCCGCATGCTTATGGCACCCTGATCTCCACGTTGCGAATATCTTTGTTAATCCCGAAAATCTATCTGAGGTTGTAGGCATCATTGACTGGCAGTCTACTGAGGTTTTACCTCTTTTTGACCATGCACGTCAGCCATATTTTCTTGACTATGATGGCCCTCCAGCAACTGGCCTCGATCCACCGGACTTCCCGCGCGACTTTGATCAACTCAATCCTGACGAAAAGATAAAGGCTGAAAGGCTTTACTTGAACATGTCTCTCACGACTCTGTATAGAAAGCTCACTTATGGCAAGAATAAGAGATTGTTCAAAGCTATGGAGTTTCAGCAGACATCGAGCTTTGACATGATGCTATTCGCTCAGAATTTGCTCATAGATGGAGAAGCTTTGTATCGAGCCCGGGCTATTGAGCTTGAAGAGGAGTGGTCATGTCTCCCGGGCGTACAGGCTTTCGGAAATCCACCATTTCCTTTGCAATATACTACCGGCGAGGTCAGATCTATTCACGAAGATGCAGATAAGGCATCCCGAAGCATGGAGCTGATGCGAGGCGTGAAAGAGTCTCTGGGTGAACTGTGGCCAGAGAAAGGCATCGTGCCGCTTGAGCGGTATGATGAAGCTAGGGAGCTTCTCAAGCATGTTAAAACAGACTTGATTAACCAGCTCGCAAATTCCGAAGAAGAGAAAACTGGCTGGGACAAGGCATGGCCATTCGATAACTGATTTGAGGTTCGCTTCTGAAACACAAGTAATAGGGACATGGCTGAATTTGCAGAGTCCTCCATCTCCTTCACTGAGAGCAGCCCCCAGTCGTTTGGTTTCGTCGTTTTCTACTTCGCATTATATCCCCTCCTCCATTATCCCACCTCAGTGCTAGTGCTTTGTGCATTGGACCCTCTCCGTGTTTATACTGACTTTCTTTCCGCTGGGCGATACCGTTGAATTCCAGTGTCTTGGATACGTGCTTAAGCACTAATTTGACCATAGCTATGGAAGCACCAAGATTTGTCTGCGGCAACTTAGAGTACGACACGTCTGGTTGCAAAAGAGAGGGGAGATTCGCGTTCAAGGGCTGCCGTCTTGTAAATGTACGTTCAGCCATGAAGTAGGAGTAACTTTCAAACTTTATCATACTAATCACTATGTCTGTGCAGTACTGCGGTCCAGAATGCCAAAAGTCCCATTGGCCTCAACATTAAATTAGCCTGCATGTCACCACTGAGGCAGGGAGCGTGGCTGCCGGCTTGTGCTCTAGAAAGTCGACTGCCTTCATTTGTTCAAGGGCCCCTTAACCAATTTATTGGACCGAATAAACACCTGTGGGGCAATACTCCTGCGATTGACGTCCTTCATTTGAGTCAAGCTGAAGGACGTGACTATGATCATGATCTCCGTCTCTTGTTTGCCGGTATGTGTTTGACCTTTTGTTTAATCTATATCATGGTGATAGCTGAACAGACATAATGTTGCCGCAGCTCGGGAGACCTCCGGAGTTTCATTGAAACGATCGCTCAGCTCCCGAAGAGCTATGATCGCTGACTTGAGGTCACAATCAATGACCGCGACATTGGTGTTGTATCCCGCCATGTTATTATGCTCCTTCTTCTTCTCAGTATGGATGAAGACGATGCAACAATTGACTGTATCATTCACCTCTGGTACTCGGCGTTCCTACGTGACACCCTGTCGTGAACTGACATCACGGTACCTCAAACGGCGTTAATTAGCAACGGGGGCTGCATTCGACCATTTGAACGTTGACTGACACCCCAATTCGTTGGCGCCACCGATATCCGTATGTCACGAATTTTGGGGCACTTCCGTCAACAGCTGTCCTGGAGGAATTTGCTGGGAGCATAACATTATGATGACCTTCTAGTTAAGGTTCTAAGACTATCCACTAACGTCCTGTCCTTGAGGGCACTAGCTTATAAGCCGAGAGTACTTAATAGCTAATACCATTGACATTTTTTATCTCTTTTAATCTTTCCTTAGCATGTAATACTTGCTGTGGAATGATCCCACTATCATGCATATATCTTACCTGAAAGCTCAACATTACTTCACGGACTTGGTCCTTATTCACAACTCTACATTCTATATACGGGAAGTGAAGCCACCGCCAATCACTGCATATCCCAGCCCTTGCTCTATTCCCTGAATAGGAGGTGATAATGTTGCAGGCCATATAAATACCGAGATAGTTTCTCCAATTCCTCCTTCCTTCTCACAAACCACTATCTTCTCTACTCCATATCAACCAGCCTACTAATCTTTGATAACTATATATATGCTACCTGGTAGTAGTTAAACCCAGATTACTAGTTAATGATCTATATCCCCATCATTAGTACCGCGTATTAGATCTCTAAGAACTCCTAGACAGAGGGATATGCAAACCTATCGAACAATCATCTCGAACCCGAGTCATTGAAGTGGGTCGATGACACCCAGTATAGCGACCTATACCATTACCAGCATAAACAAGCTGCAGTTCAGGAGAACATGTGTAGCGACAGAAACTGCAGTCAATTCAGACCCGCTACGAACATGCTATAGAATGTGAGGCAAAATGCCTACTCGGCCCTAAGTACCTCCCAGAATTCATACTATTCGGTCATATGAAAATCTATCATTTGCATCCTAGAACTGCATGTTTATGTCAACATGGTGCTACAAAAGGCTGCTCATATATTCATCAACATAAAAGGGTCTACAAGGTGCAGATGTCTCCTATAGCAGCTATCGGGCAGCACCAGAATATTGCCTGATGGCCCTCTCGTATGCATTTCTCATGACACCACCTTCAAGGCACGGTGCGCTGCAAGAATCTTCGCCGCGGATCAATCTCGGCAGCTTGGTCTATACCTGAGAATCCATGACATATTCCCGACAAACACTCCATACCAGGTAAAAACATACTGGGCATTCAATGCCAGGTTTGTCATAATCATTCAAATGCGGTGGTCGGCCTTTTTAAACGTCATCAAATTCAAGCACGGAAGAGATATGGGATCCAACATTATCGCCCGAACCCGGCCAAACAGGAACAGATTGGGGAATCTGGGGTCGTTCCAGACAGTCCAGCTTCACTGGAGAGGATTCTTTTTTTTGAAAACTTACTGGATTTTTACTAGAGTCTACTTCTTCTTCTCCCTGCAGAAGACTGTTGATGCCTGAGCTCTACTTACAGAGAGATAAGCTTAGAGCATGACAACACTTAGCAACTGATGCATCTTGGACAGTTGAAGATAGATCTGGTCATACGTGTACCCAAGTTCGACCTTAGCTTTTACCCTTCAAATGCGTTTCCGTCAACTATTGGTATGGGAAAATACATATTCCATTCATGCAACCCGATCTATGCGTGGGTGTTCATTGGTGTCACTCTTGCGAATCGGTGTATTTTCTTGGTCTATTCTTCGATTACCTATCGCATAATCGCTGATCTTGTAGCAGGTACCCGGCGAGCACTTTCCTATAAATCAGTCTCTCCTCGGCGCAGAGGTTTGCTGGCTTTGCACAATATGCTTACATTCCAGTAGCAGGCACTAGCTTCCGTGAAGTGGTGTGCCAGACCCAGGGTATCAGCTGAGAAGAAAGGTGATATAGGTCCAGAGCGTCCTTTGGGCGCCTGGAACTTTCAAAGAGAGAGAGACATGAATCACTCTTCGTGGAACGACCGACCACAAGTACCAAAGTTCAATGAGATCAACCAGAAACTAACATCGCTGCCTGGACAGAAGATATCAAAGATCTGAAAGCGACAAAATAAGACAGATACCTACAAGACACCATTCAGAAAATGCTACTTAAGCCCAAGCTTTGGTAAAGCAATTCTCCAAATATGCCACCATTGATGGGCAGATGATCATTGAGATAGGGCACTTCATTCACTCCAAATATCTTTTAATGAAACTCTAGTACAGTGATGCCTTAGATTGCGATATATCAACTTATGATAGAAACACGAACACGTTGCTCAGCGGACTAGGATCCAGGAACTCGTAAGAGACACTGAATGGTGTCCTTCGATGCTGCGAAAACCGTGTGGCGTCAGCATTGAAGTCACTCTTTGCAATACATTATCAGAGCTATTACTGCGAAGAAGTATTATATTTTGCATATTCTTGATATCAATGTCATCATACAGGCATGATTTTTGCATAGCTAAAGGTGAATTCGTCTTCCTGGCTATGCCTGTTTCCTTCTCAGAGACACTGCCCATGGACTAGCTGTCCACAAGCCATCCAAAGGATATCGAAAGTAACGAGCGATATCGGGTCCAAAGAGCAAATAAAATACCTTGTCATTCTCAGACCAGAAGAGTGTATGACTATACAATACAAATTGACAGAAAGGACAGACTTAACCCAATCTACTGCATCATTCTTGTTGTGCCCAATAATGACTCTATACCAGGCTGCCGCGACGCCTGATGCCGTACGTTTGTGGGTCAAGGACTGGTCTATGCTATCTTACACGACAATCTGGTTCTTCTGTGGCTGCCAAGACTATGTCTGCCTGCCTCTCATCTCCCACCAAGGGTGCGTCGTTCCTGAAAAGGTTCGACGAAAAGCACCCATCTTCCAGTATAGATCTGCAGTACTAATCTCGCTTATACATGTTGCCCAAGTAAGGTCTCTCACGATAAGATAATTTCTCCTTCTCGTATTATGTTTACATCTCTTCTTATTCATATATTTCTTTTCAACTTTGTTGACCCACTATCAGATACATGATCAGAACGGGATAGCTTCAGCTGTCCAGATAAAGTTATATATAAGATATGTTGATCTGACTCCGCAGACACTCTCATTATCTATGAGGACCATTGAGCCATAGACTCCAGTCACTCAAATCACTTCTCGCAATATCTGTTTTAGATCTACAACATCTTATCCGACGAAGAGTTACGGCAAACCAACGAATTTCGAGGGACTCGGTGAACACGACACCATTTTCCCCTCAAGGGTTTTGCGGAGGCTAAAATATCATCCGTATCCTAGACTCATGCTCTTCCCCCAGAGGTTCTTAACAAGGGACAGGAAAATCTACCCATTCTTGTGGTCGTATTTGCAAATTGAGACTAGTTTTCAGAATTCATCCAGAGAACCGGCTGCTGGAATCAGTACAGCTCGTAGGCTAGGATACCGTAGAGCGCTCAACTAGTTGATGGTTGAGAAAAAAAAAAAAAAAAAAAAAAAAAAAAAAAAAAAAAAAAAAAAAAAAGTCTTTGCATTTGCACGAAACTATAGGGAAACCTATGATGATTGGGACAAAACCTATAGTAAGACTGTGACACGCACATGCCAAACGGCTTATAACGAGAACTTCCATAATCCCATAATATCGCAGCGATGACATGGTAGCCCTGCATCCTTCGTGGCCCTAATATCCACAGGTATCATCATGTCCTGAGCCATTATCCTTGCATGCTCCGTCGGCACACTTGTCAACCCAAACCAGGAAGTCTTCATCGGCAGTGCAGATGAAGCGCGAGTAAAGAATGAAATCACTGGTTGTCGGTTGATCTGACCTTTCAAGAGACGCCACAATGTCTTCATAATAATCTCCTATTGTCCATGGTCTGTCAGAACCCCCGCAAGACGGACCAGAGACGGAAATTTGATGTCTTCTTACCTTTTTTGATCAATGAGGTGCCACAGTAGATAAGACCTTCAGTGCAGCCATAGGCAAATGCTCCAGAGGCCGCACCAAGAGTAAGAAGGACGGTGGAAAACTTCATTGTCAGATTGTTGGAGTGGATAGACTTTTTTTGATATCTTTAAAGCGACGCTAAGATTGTTTTCTTTTTGTCTCTGTTGGACTGCGTGGAATATGGTACCTCTGCGGTCTTTAAATATCCGGCAGTCTTGAAAGAAATGGGCTAAGTTCATCTCTTCCCCTTCGTTACAAACCTCGTGTCATCGTTGCACAACATTCTTCAGCTCCTGCATATGGAATACTGTAGTGCTATCGGATAAGAGTAAGACTTTTCTCTCAGCTAGCCACTCATCACCTTACATTCTGGCTTCAGCCAACTTTCAATCATCCTGTAGTTCATTATACCCACCTGTCCGTTACTATACAAGATTGTTTCCTCCAATACCCAAACGGCTTTACGTTTTCGACTAAACAAAGATATTGACTGCCAAATTGGAAGGTTTTTTAGGCCATGCTTTGGGGTTGGCCCCATCGTTCTTCAGCTCCACATGAACGGGGTTGACCGTGCCCCAGCATTCTTACCCCCCAAACTTCGACCTCCTTGATTCCTATCCGCCAAAATCCCGCAGTCCGCGGAACTATGTACCCACAATCTCCAACAATATAAGCTGTCATTTTCAGCTGTACTACAGCAAGCGCATTTTGGAATGTTCCTAGGTACGTTGTGTCCTTCTGACCATCACTGTTTCCAGCATACCTTTCAGGTTAAGACGAGGGTCCCCAACTTAGGGTTGATTTCTGTAGTTATTGTCGATCATATTTCTGAAGACATGAGATTCCAGAGAAAAGTAAAGTCTTCACCCAACTCGTAACTAGATAGACAGGAGTGGAACACGCGGAAATATGCAGGAGCAGCATGTATTCACAGGTAGCTGGAAGTCCTTGCCCCAAATTAGGGCCATTATTGGTCAAATGATAAGGAACAATGCGCATGTCTGTATGCATATGTCTGGTAGGTAGAAATATATCAATGTTACATCTTCTTCAAAAAGTTAATAAATTGTTGGGCGAGGTTGGAGTATGGAAAGTGAAAATGTTATATAAAAATTTAATTAGGTCAGGGAACCCGCTGCTGCTTTGGAAGCAGTTGCTGCCCAAATGCGAATACCTTCAATATTTACTGTACTGTGCATGATCGCTGCTTACACTTGAAATGTGGTGTCCAATCCATAGCCTATGTCTCAATACACCATGTCAAGCGCTAGGGAATCTGGTCTCAGACTCAAGTTACAATGAGAAGACTTGTATACTTGTATGGTATTACCAAGTGCAAAATCTCCCGCAGAGCATCAGATCTAGGAAATACCAACCTTCTGTGTCTCCCAAGTGGTGGCCTTCAACGCTTGTGATCTCCTGCGTGGATAATCCTGTTATCGGCTGATTTGGTGATATATCATTGCTTTATTGGAAGATGGTATTTCAGAGTCATCATACCTCTCTCTCGTCGTTGTCCAATTGTTCACTGCATACATAGTGTTCCATCTTGAATGATCCTATATTTCCTCCATTGATGTTTTCCGAAGAGCAAGCCGGGTTCGGCATTGCGGAAGTCAGTCAGCAATTCGAGGTCTGTCGTAATAGTGTAGAAGAGTAATGTACTCTATAACATTGTCCAAAGCTCTTCAGGGGCGAGCATCATGATACTTCTAGGACTGACCGTCTTGGGGGAGCGTTGGAAATAATGCAGTGTATGTCGATGCTACGGCCGCAGGTAAATCAAGAGCCAATGAACAGCAATACCCAGGAATGACTATGTGACAACTAAAGAGATGTGTGCCTGCTGACTTAGTACTAGGTGGTTATCACCCATACCTATTACATAACCTTGCGTAAGTTTTCTTTTTGGCGTCGCTTGTCGCATACCAACACATAGAGGATTGTAATTATTGTATCGGTGACAACTCCAGAGGCCTGGACGAGATTTCATCGATGATAATGTAGGTGTTTAAAAGCAAGAACGACGAAAATGGTCTGCAACCGATGATAGCAATATACTTTCAATTCTATTAAATAACTCTCATAGCAACTCGATGGGTAGTAAGAAGACCAGATTATTATGTGGACTTATAAGCAAGATCGACATTGTTAACGGAGAATTGTCGGCAGAGATATTCAATAACCCTAAATATTTGGATGCAATGAAGGTCTGCCGTGAAAGAACCATCAAAACTTCCATGAAGGTATAGGCATTCAACTTGGATCGAAAGTCCTAACCACAATGAAGTTCTTTACTACTGTATTTCATGCGCTTGGCACTGTTTAGGAGTTAGTGATTGCCTCCTACTGGGATTACCAGAACGTCCTTATGTGGATCGTCCCTACTCCAGATGAGTATGTAGTTTAAAGATGACCACCTGTGACCTCATAGGATTTCAACGTGCAAAAAAAATCGTTCTGAGATGGCGACTACTACTAAAAGAGGATCTAATCGGCACTTGTATCTCTGGAAAACCAACAGCTGAAGACTATGTGCTTAACTGCGCTCCTTGGGGTGGCACCGTATAATTCAGGAAGGAATGCCCTGAGAAGTGCATGAAGAACCCTGGCATAGTAGCTGGGTTATACTGACTTTTACAAGACTTGATATAGCCTTCATATAGTTGAGTACACTTGTCTGGGTATATTTCTATCAGCATCCATAGAGAGAATCCCCCCTGCATTCAATCCACCATTCAATCCACCGGGTATTACCACCAACACCAGAAAAATATACTCTCACCCACCAAACCCAAACACCTCCTCCACCTTCCGAATCTCCTCTTCCATCCGAGCAACCCTCCCCTGCCCTCTCCCCTCTATCCCCACAAGACAATATGGATCCTGCCACTCCGGCCCGTCCCGATACCGAAGAATATTCTCCATGTTTCTGTGCTTCTTTTTCTGCGTAGGTTTCTGGTTTGTGTCCGATGACGTCGATCCACTTTGTGTTCCCGTCTCTGCGCTTGTGTTGTTATGTGTGGACTGAGATGTGATAGATCGCGTGGTACTTTTAGCTCTCGAGGATATGTTGAATTCAAGGGTTAGCTTTCATTCCCATACAGCAAATACCATGGGTTCGATGCAGTGGTGGTAAAGTACCTTGTACTCGATGTGGTGTTGGGCATTATGATTGGGTGTGTTTTGGATTTGTGGTCGTCGGATGTAAGGAGTTGTTGTACATGGCAGTATGGATAGACCAGAGTAGATGAGAGTACTAATAGAGGGGGATTGTATGTATCGTAGTAGACTTTTTTAGGAAACAACACATTTGAACTAAGATTGAGTAGCATAGTATACACCAATTTATACCCACACATACACAGACCGACAAAAGTGTAGAGAGAGATATCTACAGCCTCATCGACTTCCTCTTTCTCAGCTACTAATCACTACTACACTCTTCACAGCCCATCGCCCATCTAGAAGGTGGTCTAGAATGAAAATCCAGCAAAAAGGAATGAAATGAAGCGAGTAGGCAACGACCGAGCACTCCTTCCATCCATCTATCACAATGCATAAATCTCATCTCATTTCCGCTCGGTGCAGTGCAGACAGTCCAGTCCAGACCACTCAAAAATCCTTCCCTACTAGTTTACTTGCATAGAATTGTATCCGATCTGCCCGTAAGCGACAATAGCTATCTAGTGTAGGCGTGTGTGTGTGTGTGTGTGTGTGTGTGTGTGTGTGTGTGTGTATCAATGCACACCTGGTCCAGACTCTCATCATGTACATCCATAATGTACCTTCAGATAAATCAACACATATGAGTAGAAAATGATTCGATGACGACATCCCCTCCAACCGTGGCCAGAAGCTCTCTACTATACATGGAAAAAAGCAAAATGATGGTGGATTGTCGGCTGGGCGGGAATTATCGGCCGGTCTGGATCGGTCGGGCCAGCCAGGACGTTCTAGAATCGAAACATTTCTTTTTCTTTTTGTTTAGTTTTGTTTTGTTTTGGGAGGGTGTGTGGGCGTCCCGTCGGTGTCGGGCTGGTTTGAATTTCAATGCATATGGTGGATTGATTAATTAGGAAATTAGTGCGGAGTAGCATCTATTCTATAATTTAGTTTTATGTATGTCCATTGGGTATCTACAAGGCTTCTGGCTGTTACTGTGTAGGAGAGATTTCGCAAGGCTGGATCAATTGGGTTGATGGGGAGGGGGGGGGGGACGGGCGGGGTTTGCGCCTTGTCGGTGTAACGGATGGAGTTGATGGGTTAACTTTTAGTTGGGATGGGATGGGTCCAGGGACGGGTAACCCTGGTCTAGGTCTTTCTTTCTTTTTATTTCTTATATTTGCCGTGGGTGTTTACTTTGTAGAATTACATTTTATTATTGAGGATAAGAAAATATTGTAAAATAGTGAGTGGATTAGGTCGAACTTTTCATCTCCGGGTATATATCAACACAACACCAATTCATCCCATAATTCGCCGCCCACGACAGGAGAGGGCCATGAAACAAATTCCCAGATCTTGTTGTAAGATGTAAGGAACAAAAGAAAAAGAAATCATCATAATTATTATACAATATACGTGACGGTCATTACAAGGGGATATCTGGGCAGAGACAAAACAACGCATCGCCGCTGGGCTTATGCGTGAAACGCCTCACTCCCCTTGCTATGTCGCCACATCCCGTTCGGGACCATGCTTTGTTTGAGCATGGCAAGCTCCTTCTGGAGCGCCTTGTTCTCATCCTGCAATTCTTGCATAAAGGTGATGGCATTGGTCAGGATCTCCGACTTCTTCAGCGAAGCCGAGCCGCCCTTGGTGGGCTTCTGGACTCCGCCGCACATCGCCTTCTCCAGGGCGACGAACTTGGCGTTCATGTTCGTGCGGTACCGCTTCTCGATGATGTTGTGCGCCGCCCGCTTCGCCGCATTGCGGCCGGTGGTGGTCTGGGCCTGACCCGTGCTGGCGTTGGAGTCGCTGGAGAGACTGCGGGTGGTCTTACGGGCGGTGTTGTTGGCGGCAGGGGAGGAGGGGGCGGGCGGGGGTGAGACACTGGTGGCGGGGTAGTCCTGCGGTGTAATTTCCGGACTGGACGACCACCTTGTCGCGGTAACCTCGCGAGGCTTCGGTTGAGACGTCGTCTTGCGACGAGTGGATGTCTTGGAAGTACGAGCAGCAGGCTTAGGCAGCTCCATGTGGATAGGCTCAATGGGAGAGACACGGCAGGTAGGAGACCATGATTGATCATCACTGTCGAGGTCCTGTTGAGTATATGTTAGTTATGGTTCAATCCATTCAATACCGATGGAATAGACATACCGATGAGAGAGACCCGCAGGAGGCAGCATCTTCACCCGAGTGGTTGGAGATGGTGAACGCACTGATATCTGGGGGTGGGGCGAAGAAGTCGGCGGGAAAATCCTTGGGGTCCAAGTTCATCATCTCGTTGGACATCTCCAAGGGGAAAGTCTCCGGCATCATGGTGTTGAGGGAGAACAGATCGATGGCATTGTCGTAGCTCCAGTTAGCCGACAGAGGATCGGGTCCCTTGGCGAAGGTATCATTGGGACGAGTGAGTGGGCTCGGATGGCTCATGCTGTACATCCGCTCGTCGTCTAACGAGAAGGAATCGGGCCTAGGGTATGCCATACTAGTGGACTTGAGATGGGGTTGATTTGGATGGATGACGATGTGGATTGTCTGATAGTACTTGGTGTGGGAGGCAAACTTGATAGTCGAGTCGACAGTCAAGGTCGAGTGGCAAGCAGAGAAGTGTTGAGGAGGCAAGAGAAGAGTAAATATAAAGAAGCTGTCTGATATTGAACCGTGGATCGGAAGGATGCTAGGCAGTAGAAGACATCGGGGGATGGACTATATAAAGGTGGAAGGTTTCAGGAGAAGCCGGTGTCAGAAACCGATCGCCAGGCCAGCCGAGACGCAATGATGTAATGGCTTGCAACGGTCGAAAAATCCACGGCCAGCGAAAAATAATGAGGGCCAGCATAATTGGACTGGAGACGCGCAAGAAAAGCCATGACCATTGTCGAAACGATAATTGCACAGGGCCGGTGAAGGGGCACCGAGAGATCACCCCAGCCGGATGCAGGGCATCCAGCCTCGGTCGGCTCCGATGTCTGCCGTCGGAAGGCCCATTTGGGGGGGAGTGAATGGGAAGCAGGGGAAAGCTCAGCAGGAGAGAGAGCTGAGGCAAACTACAGCTCAGTAGAGTACGTACTAGACTCCCACCAGAAAATAGGAAAATCAAAAAAAATAAAAAAGGAAAAAATCAAGAGAAAAGGACGGATTGGAGAGCCGTGGAGGGCGGGATCGGTGGATCGATCGATGCACAACCGTTGGACTGGCTTCCCTTTCGTTTGCTGACTATACCTCTTCTGGCTTAGTTCCCCGCCAAGTACCGCCGCGGCCGAGTCTCGGCTCCGACATCTTCGGCCGGACGAGGAGGAAACTCGACAGAAGTAAGAACAGCTGGACAAATGATTTTTCTGTTTTTTTTCCCTTTTCCTACTTACTCCCCTTTGTCCAACATGACTTCTCCATCTCCTACTCCATACACTCAAACTCACTGACCAAAATGGCAACAGTCAAATGCGGAATTAATCTTATCCCTGCCTGCCTAGATTTTCTTCACGAGGCGACCATAATGTCGCTCGCTTGCCTGTTGCAGTTATTTCATCCGTTCGGCACATGTTGATTACTTCGTTTCATAGACATGACCGATGCATGTGGTAAACCTCAAAATGGAGGCCACCTACGTAGACTGAAACTAGACGAGGGGCAATACTAGTATCTTCGTAGTGTCTGGATACTGTCTACGTAGTGTTTGCCAATCCCAGCTGCCTTAGGCCGCCATAGTTCAGGTACCCTCAATTGCGGCCGCAAGTGGGTCTGTTCTGGCCTTCATGGCTGCTCCTGTATGTCCCTTGTGTTCCCTGGCAAATTCTTATGCTCACAGTTGATTCGCTTCCGGCAGCCATACACAAGTACTAAGTGGTAGTAATCTGTCGGAGGCAATGATGGGGTTACAGATGACAAGCCAGACCACCTGCACAGCTCCCTTTCCGTCCCGAGTCTCTCCCTGAATAAACCGAACTGTACGACACTGGGTGTAACAAACAAAATCATCTTGGAGAGTCAAAGTACAATACTACTTGCCACATACGATGATGTATGTATAGTAGGTATGTTTTCATTCCCCCAGGATGGTCGCATCCACCAATCATGAAACGGTCATTGGCAATGAAGTACCCCTTACTGTCCATCTCGACCAGTCAGGTGGCCAACAATCGGCATTTCACATCCTCAATTTTTCGACCGTCTCGCTTACTACTAACTCAGCTAACTCCTGCTCTGACCACGATACAGTACATGATTAGCCATACTATGGATGTACTATCCCGGTCTATCCCAATCCACTACAGTATCTACTTTACTCTCTTCAGCTCTCCCTCCGTCCCTTCTTTTTTCCATCTCCCGCGGGTACTCCGAAGGAACACAGACCAGGTCAGTGGGCCACAGCAACCCCATCCAGGTGGAGAGACAGACTGCATCGCCTCCCATTTTATTCTCTCACACACACTATCTCGCAGCCGACCGAGGGGTCTAGCCTGTCTCCTGGAATATTGGGAGTGCTCGCAACCTCCTTTTCCTCCAATTCCCTTGACCTAATGATAATCGCAACGATGATGAATCCGCCCAAGGTTCCTAGCTGTGGTTACCCGCCATGACGTCTCGGGAGGTCTCCATCGCCCCTCTTCCCGCTACCACAAAAGCTGGCAAAAATAAGGGCTGGCTGGCGCGCTATTGACGGAATCTATCCACGGTAAGTCGCCCTCGGAACCACCAACCCGGTTGGCGCTATAGTCAGCGTCCTAAGAATAAAAATTCTCCTACGAAAAGTGACATACATAAAATCTCCGACCACACTACCCACTGGTCCAGCGCGGACGCTAGTAAATTTCTCGGCTTCAGACGTGGAGAAAATAACCTCATTGAGTAAGGTTCTTTGCTCTCTCCCCCCCAACATTTCCTCCCCCCAAATAGTCTTACCAGGCGAACCGGATACCGGGTGCCCAGGGTCTGCTGCAATGCCACCAGTGGTGTGATCCGGCATCTTCAGAACCCCTTCCTTAGTGCGACGATGCTCTGCGATACACTCGCTGTGGCTTGAGATCGCCAAGGATTGCAGAAGAATTCTCGTCGTCGGTCGTATGCCTGCTACCCCCCTCGGGTGATTTTGATGACCAGCTCTGCCCGATCATCTCGCCCGAGACACTGGGATTGCTCTTGTTCTCATGACTCAATTCTGGTTCATCTGGCAGCTGACTTTGTAGCATGTCTCCGGTTAGGTCTTTCCCGACGCACGAGACGCCTGGTGTGCCTTGGGCCACCAGATTCTGTATACGTCAAACTCGGCGAGGGTGGACGGCATCTGACTGATGGTTTCGGATAAGGCACCGGCCAGTGCTGGTCAGCCCTACCGATTTGGGTGATGACTGATCAGAATTGATCCAGGATTATGCTCGTTATTATTAATGTTCTCTCTAAGGTGCTCCCCTGGCTGTGAGAACAAGGTTAGGCTTTAGCTTCATCGCACCAGCCCAGAATAGTAACCCCGCAACACGATGACTCTCAATCGACTCACAGCTGATTATGTTGTTGTTAGCTGAACTAAGACCGATTAGATGTGAACAAACGAATGAGTGTGCCAGAATGTCAAATGTGGCCTGGGATTGGCGCCATGATGATGTTGAGCAGCTGCAGAGGTTCAGACGTGGTGCTGAACAATTGCGTCAGACGTGTCTACATGGAATGTGGATAGAGCACCACCAGTGTGCTGAACTGATTAGATCTAGTCGAGCCTCATCTTGTTCTGCAACGGCGTCACCGAGATCCACAAGCTCTGACCACCACAAGTTTGGGTTGCCGCGGGGCCCGGGCTTGCCAATTTCCCAGAAACCAGCTCGAGGTCAGCACACCCCGGCTGCTATCCGCCCGGCGGGTGCACTACTGTACGATGCCGTGGGGGAACCGGTCCAAGACCTCACTCTGAGGGCGGATGAGAATTATCCCGGATGACGGCAGGGTGTGTCGGTTGTTCCTCCTGCGTCTTATGTCACAGCGGCAGGAATCCTACTCCCGGTCATCAACGTGCTGCTAAAGAGTGTATCGGACTTTATCCTGTTGTCGGGGGTGCAGAGCCGACCTCATCGACTTCGGCAGATGGGATGCCGGTTAGGAGGGGCATCCCCCGCACGAGACTTCAGATCTACGACACAAGCGGCAGTTACCTCACAGGCTTCCCGTTGGCCATGCAAAGACAGGATGGGATCAAAGAAATTGTGGTAAGCTATCTACTTGCTCCTAGCCAACGCTTTTACCGTCGTCTCAAAACTCTCAGGTTCTCGTCCCAAGATCTCCCTCAAGAGCGGCGACACCACGGCCGTCTCCCCACGACGGATCGCATCCCACGCGGTTGCCCATTCCCTTGTCAAATCGATACCGTGATAGGTGTGTTTTGATCCGTGCTGCGGCAAAGCCACATACTCGTCAACAGAGATCTCCTGCAAGCGGAGGGGCTTGCCAACGGCCTGGCCGAGAATTTCAACAGTCTCCTTCAGCGAGATCTCCCTGGGGCCGGAGAGCAAGAGCACGCGGTTCAGGTAGGGGAACCCCGCCGGATTCTTGGCATAGTCTGCAAGCAGCTTCGCCGTGGCCTCGCCCAGCTCGTCACGTTTCACCCACGCAACGCCCGGTCCGTCGCCGGAGTGAGGGATCGCGATCTCGTCTGCGGGGTGGTGGATATCGAACCAGCTGGTGTAGATCGGATAGGACTCCGAGTACAGACCCTCCCGGATAGCGGTGTAGGTGATGTGCCCGGAAAGTTCGGCCAAATACTTTTCGGTCCGCAGATGGGCGCCCATCACGTGCGCAACGCTAGTCTCCTCTAGATCGCCTGCAAAGGCGAGAGACGAATAGAAGATGTGCTTGACGCCGCTGCGGCGGGCAGCATCGATGGCGTTCTTATGCGCCTGTCTCGGATCAGCATCATGTCGGCGCGAGATCATCACGGCAACCTACCTCGAAGCGGAACTGGATCTCGAACGAGGCATACGAGATCAACATCAGGGCGTCGATGCCATCGAAGGCGCGCTCTAGCGTGGCGGGGTCTTCATAGTCGGCCCGTCGGACGGTAGCTCCGGCCCGCGTGAGTTCTGCGAGATTATCTGGCTTGCGGGAGATCAGGATCAGTTCCGATGCGGGCACTAGCTTGACGAGGTGTTTGAGGATGCTGGTCCCCAGTCCTCCTGCTGCAGGAAAGACCCCGATTTTGGTCATTGTGTGCGCGTGGTGTATGACGTAAGGATGGTTACACTGGTGCTCCTCCTTCAAGGCCTCATAAATATGCAGTAATGTAGTGATGGGGCTGTATGTAGAATTGTCCGATAGATGCTGTATAGAGGGAAATGTGCCAGTCAGGGGTTGTTGACCTGGTGGTGTGAAGCTCAAAATGTGTGTCTTGGAGCCCCGCTGTTGGTGGCTTACAAATCGGTCTGACGTTGAGGGCAGTCATCGTGGTGCCGATCGACCTTCAGGGGTTCAACCAACCTTCCTTGGGGGTTCAACCTGACCCTGAAGAGTAACCATTTATTGGGACTCTACTGGAGTAACTATGTTGCTCTGGTCAGGTTACAGGACGCTACATAACTCTGTCGCATCATTGTTGGGGTTTCTTGGTCCGGATACATGGCGTTTGCCGGTACACCCGTAAGTAGACTTTAATGCCGCTGTGCTGAACACCTTAAGAATAAGAATTTCGTAGGCTCATAAACCAATGGCTATTAATTATCTTTCCGCCAAATAGCTGCCGCTGTCTAGAAATAATAGACCGTGTCCAAAACAATTCCCATCCCTATTCTACTCAGCAGCCACGTGACCGCGTCGTATCTGTCCTGCTTTTTCCTTTCAGTGTAGCTTCAGCGTTTATTTGAACAAGCGAAATTGACTAGTATATAGTAACAGGCCAAGTAGTTTGATTATTCTGACTACAAAAAAGTGAACTGTTAGTAGTGAAAACAGTACTACCACTACAATATATATTTCTCCTGAGGATGATAAAACCCGGCACCTCACCGATCGCTCATGATTCCCTCCATGACCGTCCCAACCAATTTCAATAATATAATAATGAAACACGAGACTTTATCAATGTCTCATTTACCAATAAAATATTACTAGCCATGCTCTGCTACAAAAATATCTATAACGAAGCACACCTCCGAGAGGGGAAAGAAGGGAGAGGGAGACTAATTGTGGGCATGGTATAGCACTAAACCGAACACGGCTAGTTGGAATTCAAAAGCAGTTGATCTCATGCCAATTCAACCACGAGGGATGTAATAATATTCTAATATTCTATAATATTCATAACTGCAATTGCGAGCATGACTTTCATAAAGTAGATACTATGGAAGAAGAAGAAGAAGTGGAAAGTGGATGAAAGCTTTCTGTTATAGAAGGGGACATTGGTGATTCTTGATCATCTTGTGGAGTGGTATGTCTTGAAATAAAAGCGTTATTTGCAATAAAATAACTATATAGCTGGAGTAGGATAATAGGAGCCGGGGTTTGTGATAAGGTTAGAACCCAGATGGGGAAGGGTTGGGTTTTATTCGTGGGTATTTATTCATTAGGAGGTTGGGTTGTGTTGTATTTTGTGCCTTATTGCATTGTTGCCTATTTTTTTGTTTTTTTTGTTCTATTGTTTTTGGTCGAGAGGGATCACAACCACTATGATGCTGACTGGGCGTTCTTAAGAAGATATGAGCCTTCATATTGAGTACTGAGATGGAATTGATGTCTGAGGATATGCTTATCAGATGCGTGTCCTGAAATTGCCAGCCTGGTCCAAGCCGGGGAAAAATGAATCAAAACGGCTGTAGTGGTTCTGTCTATTGTAAACTATGTTATCTCTCGGAGAAGAAGTAGAAGTTAAATCTAGCATTGCTCTGAACAAGTCACTCGTAGTGAAAAGGATATCCCAAAGGAATCTGACGCAGATGTGTATATCAAATTGAAGTTTGGCTCGAGAAGATCGGAGCTTGAGACGACATTCTTGAGGTTTCTCCAGAGTAAGAAAAGGCCCCCCGGTTCGTACAACAATTTGTAAACCGAGCGAAGGCATACCCTGGATACCCCAATACAGATGAAAACAAGAACTATCCGTGCAGAGCAAGGTCCCTAAGGAATTCTTTTTTGACATTGGCATCGGTATCAAGCATCTCCTCCCAGTCCTCCATGAACCGCAGAATCCACTTCCACAAATTCGGAGAAGCAACAAACATATCTTGCCGAATTCTCCGCGGACTGTCAGCTGTATACTTTGCTTTCCACTCGGACATGAGTGTCAATTTCTTGGCTATGGTGTGTTTAAACACCTTGTTCCGAAAATAGTCCTTCTCATCTCTTTCAACTTTCCAAAGTGGGCGATCCTCCTCACGAACCTCGTCATAAAGCCGGAGGTAGTGAGGTGAGCGACGTTGTTGCGAGAAGTACTCTCCTATATCCTTTTCGGGACCATAGGTAGATTGCCAAACTGCAGTAAAGAGATTGTAATCACCGATAGAGTCCAGACCGAGGAGTCGACTCAAGTTCCAGTGGAAACTGCCTTGTTTGAGGGGTTCGTGGTACCTGCGCACCGTACTCTCTTCAGTAGATTCGGACATAGCTGCCTGGAAGCCATCGATGAAGGCTGTGTGTAATACCGGGCTTATCTTGTCGCCGTATTGCGGCAAACCGGGTGGGGATAACAGCATGGATTCAGGAACAGATGATGTGAACGCCCAGTCGATGATACAAGTAATATTGTAGTCGTCGTCGACATAGATATTATTGACACTAAGATCAGCGTGACATAGCGGGAATGCCCCCGGGTTTGAAGTTGGGAGTTCAAGTTTGCGTACAATGTCGCGGAGAGCGTCACCTGCAACGATGTAATCCAGCCTGTTATCTGCAGAATCGATTTTGTTGCCGACAGTGACGAAGTCATTCCACAGATCCACAGCCTGCCTATACTGCTTGTCGGATTGATAGTCATCTCTCGAAGGGACTGGGGCTACAAAACAATGATGTGATAACCGCAGACACTCTGCTTGTTCCAGAAATCTGGAAACAAGGCTTTCGTAAAAGTCTGAGTCGGTAGTGAAAGGGCCACGCTGACCCTCTAACAGAAATCGTTCATGTAGCATATAGCAGCGCCAGAGGCATTCCTCGATCTTGAAAGCTCCATCGTCATCATAGAGTGAGCCGATTTGATCAAGTCGTAACTGCGAGAGCT